ATGCATTATCTGAAATTAGAAGGCAAAGATTCTGAAAGACTCCTAGTTTCTATTGGTAACTTACAATTCAATATTCATACACATTAAGTTTGTTTCTTAAAAAAATGGGTCAGAGTATTTTGATATGGCGACAGTGAGTTTTTCACTAGAGAGCATTTTCTAAGAAATATGGTAGATGTTCAAAGCCCAATCGTTCAAATCCAAGGCAAAAGAAAAGTTTCACCCAAATGGTAGGCCTGTTTGAGCAACAATAATCTAGCTATTTTTGAAAATCAGAGTCAAAGTTTCAAAGAGATACTGATTAAAGTCAAGCTATCAAAATTCATAGGACCAAAAAAGAAAAAAAAATCTATTCACAAGCTTTTAGTCACCATTCTATTTGAAAATTTGCTGAAAAGCTTGTCCATTATCAAATGTTTCATTTGGTAAAAGTTTTGTTAGGCTCCCCCGAATTCCTGTTTACTAGGCTTTAAAGCATTTAAGTATGGCTGTTTTGAACATCTTTGCAGACACAGCTGGTGTTAATGTTATTCAAGAAACCAAGTCCAAGAATATAGTCAACATTGACATTCTCTCTAGGTGAGGTGTTAGATCAAATATCAAGATATATTGGCAACTGTGCTGTATAATTAACGGACATTTAGCACTTCACAGTATGGAGCTGAATAAAGACAAGTATGGTTTTTACAGTCATATCACAGGTTCTCTCTCACTGTTTTCTATTGCCAATACAAGTGGTTTTGTAGATTCTCATCTGCTCTGCTTGCTACTACTCAAAATTAAATAGTGCCACCTCCCTATTGTTTTAATTGCTCATTTAATTTTCATATTCAAATGATTTGGAATTCATTCAGCTAGCAGAGAAGCTGTAATTTCTCACATTTTGAAAGCTAAGAAAGGTGAGGTCACCTTTGCAAAAATAGAGAAATTACACTAACTCTATGACTTCTTTTTGAAATACTCCACCTGTTAAAGTATCAACAGAAATTAAGACTAACACTAGCATTCATCCAATATTTAAAGGCCTGGGGCTCACACCTTTGTAGGTGAGACTATTTACAGAGGTTCCCAGGAATAAGAATAAGGTGGCTGCACTCTTGATGTGTAACACAACCAGTTGACCATGGGTTGACTCTTGAGTTCTTGAGATCTGAAAGGAGAAATAGATGTCAGTTTTGGGGTACTATGTTAATTTACAGTGGTATATGTTCATGGACATAACTGAGAGTACGTTTAATATCATCTAACAGAGTTAATAATACTGGTACAGTCAACTAAAGAAGAAGTTAAGCATCTGCTTTTGGTTATATATGGCTAGATCTCAAATATTTCTAAACCATATGTGGATTTAACATGGATTTGATGACACCATATATCTGCTTTTTGATTTCTTGGTTGATTTTTTCATGTTGGAAAGAGAACAAGAAAGGCCAAATGAAAAGGATTATTGCCAGAAAAATATTTTTGTCCATCTTTCTTTTCAAATCATTGGCTTTGAGTTCAACTTTGTTTTATTGAGTTTATAATTTCCTGATGCCTTTGCTTAATTTTACTTATTGCAGATATATAGCTGAACATCTACAAATTATTCTCATAAGTTCATCCATAAATGACTTAATACATGATATAAATGCATATTTGTATATAAGTAACACTTAAAAATATACTTTGAGCAACATATACAAACATAAATACTGTATGCCCTAACAAGGCAGAAGTTATACCACTAGAAAATATGGAAAAGAAATGGGAAAAACAGTGAGAAGATAATACACTGAGTCGAGCATATAGAATATTTGGGGTAAAGGAATATCATTTTAAATGTACATTAAATAACATTGTATTAAAACTTTGCATCACAAATATAAATTTTTAAGGTAGATTATAGGCATGAGGTAGAGAATAGAGAAAAGTTCTAATTTATATCATTGCTCATATAAGGGAAAATTTGTTCCTAAAGATGTGAATAATTGCCTAACAAGCATAAGACCCAGGATCAATCCTTGGATCCAAGAAATGACAAATATGAATAACTGAGAATATAAAATTATAAAAGTAATAATAAGAACAAAATTGCAAAATTTTTTTAATATTGATAGAGTCATATGCAGACAGTAAAATAAAAGTTAACAGACCTTATGTGACACTGCTGACTCTTATCTAGCCTACACCTATGGCCCCCTGGGAAGCTCTCTAGGATCAGCTGACAGAGGATTTGCCTGATTTGCAGATGGCTCTGCACAACATGCAGACACCATTCAAAACTGGACAGCTGCAGCCCCTTTCAGTGACACTCCTGAAATACAGCAGTGAAGAGAAGTCCTCCCAGTGAGCAGAACTTAGGGTGATGAATCTGGTTGCAGGCTTTGTTTAGAGAAGGAAATGACAAAAGACAGAGAAGGAAGGAAGGAAGAAAGGAAGAAAGGAAGGAAGGAATAAGGACCAATATGTAATTATACATGGATCATAGCCTATAATTATGGGAAGTCATAGCTTCTTATTTTAAGGATCAATCCAGCTTGGAGCCATGACTTTCTTCCTGCCCAGCTCAACCATGTTTTGATGGGAGTCAGAAGGCGGGGAAACATCCACTGTAGCCTAGCTTCAAGGATTATACATCAGCACCTCGGCAAGCCCTATCTACATTGCTTAGAGCCAATTAAAGGGAAAAGGAAACAGTCTAGCCAGCTCGGTACATATCAGTACACGGCTACAGAGCCAGGTTTAGCCAGAATGGAGATAACTGCTTTGTAGTCAAAAAGTGTTGTCCAAGTGGTTCCCATAACCAGTGTCTCAAGACCTTTTAGAATGAAGTTTTGAGTCATTTACCAGGAATGAAATTAACTAACTAATGTGCTTACTCAAGACGAAGGCAATGCAGGATAAATAGTACAGAGATAAAAGTTAAAAATATCTGCAACCACCACATGAGCAATCATGAAAATGAAAGTTGTCATTGATATGTGTTTCCTCCTTATTTTGTTATGGATGGAATACAAACACATGACAAAATGTATTTTGTTTGTGTGGAATAAATATTTGCCACAAAATAAAGCCTGGATACACACAAAAAATATATATACCACATAATGCAACACCAACTATCTTTGTTTTCTTCCTTATCATTCTCCCACCATGTAAAAAAGCACTGATTTTATATCATAGTATTTATGTGCTATTACATTTACATCATAGTATTTAAGTAATGGGCTATCCAGGAGAAGAGTAAACATCCTTCAAGAACTTTACCTCCTCTGCTGGGGAAGGAGTTAGTGCATTCACAGATCTACACAGCCTAGTTATATCATGGTAGGAAGAATATGACTGTGTTATTACCCTTATTTGAAGATTAAGGAGATGTGTAAGCATGCCTCACAGGTAAGAGATAAGCTGGCTTTGGTTAGTTATATTTGCCAATGCAACTAGGCTATGGAGTGCCAAACACTTGTAAGACATGATTCTGGACTAGGAGAGTTTTAGGATGATATTAATATTTGAATCAGTATACTGAGGAAAGCAGATTGCCTCTCCAGTGTTGGCAGACCTCAGTCAACCTGTTGAAGACCTGAATGGAACAAAAAGGAAGAGTAACGGAAATTTTACTTCCTCTCTGCTTGTCTTTGAGCTCAGGCATTGATTGGTTTTCTCTTGTCTTCAGACTGGACCCAAACTAGACTTCACCATATCAGCTTTCTTGGTTCTGAAATCTTTTATATTCAAACTTTCCCTAACACCCTAACACCATTGGCTCCACTGGCTCAAGCCATTGAACTTGGACTAACACTATATAATTGGCTCTCCTAGGTTTTCCTTTTGACAGCTGAAGATCTTAGAATGTCTGGTCATTCATAATCATGTGAGCTAATTTCTTAAGATTAGTTTAATCAGGCCATATATCTGTTTACTCATCTATCCTATTGATTCTGTTTTTTATGGAGAATGTTTACTAATACAGATTTATGAGGATCTAAAGATATCAAATAAAACTATAATTACAAAAGAAACAAGAATGAAGCTACAACCCTTTCTTAATATCAATAGAGTAACATACAGAAAGCAAAATGTAAAACAAAAACATTTTATAGTGAAAGACTTAAAAACAAATTTTCTATAAATTTAAAAAAATAACAAAAAACTAAACTCTAACATTTTTGTTCTATTAATAATTGTAATTGAGCAGAAGTCAAAAATAAAGGGATTTTAGATTAGTTTTTTAACATACTCTATATTATCATTAAATGATAAAATCTAAACTAAAATATTTAACAACAAAATAGGACAACAGTATACCAGGAAGGGAAAACAAGAAAATAAGAAAAGAAAACAAGCATTACATGTAACAAAGAAGGTAGAATTCAACCTAAATGAGGCTAAAAAAGAATTTTCTAATACCAATGTTAATTCACAGTAAAGATATATCAGTCACAATCATTTCTGTTTAAATACCAGTGAGACACAAGGTGAAATAAAAACTACTAAGAACTTCATTCATTTATCTCCAGTTGTGACAGATAAAACAGAAAATAACTAAATAAGTATGCACAGGGTGCCTATGAGACATTCACAGTAACTAATGATACACTAAGACCCCCCAAAAGACTTCAATATATTATAAAAAGTAAAAATGATTTTACAGAAGTAAAATGGTTCATCACTATGTAACAATGAATCAAATTTGAAAGAAGTCAGTGTCTTGATATTAATAATTTCAAGTAAATAATTTTTGAATCAAAGGAGAAATGCAAAACTAAAGTTGGAAAAATATAAAAACTTTTAAGAAAACTACAAACTACTGCATCAATACTAAAAGCCAATCACAGCCTTAAATGCTTCTGTTGTAAATGTGAAAGATGGAAACTAAATGAATTAACATTCCACTTAAGAAATTACAAAGTAAACAAAAGAAAAATGGATAGGAATTAATGGAAAGAATCAATGAATATGAAAGAGAATTTAAGGAGTTGGAAACAAAAACTGGAAATTGGGAAAAAATCTCAGTAATAGCTCTGAATCAAGGCTGGCAGCTTGCTGAAGCTGTTGGTTTCAAGCAGGAGTCTAAAGTGGTACCTTTCTATGATCTGTTGTCCACTTTAGAACTCTAGAAATGTAATGGTCAAATCTTTAGAAAGAAACAATTTTCCCCGTAGTGACCCTGCCACTAAGGTCCTGGGTAAAGGGAGGCCATGTCCCCTGGTGAGCCTGCTGCCACGGACCTGGAAGAGAGGAAGCCATAACCCTGGGGTTCTGCCAACACTGAGAAACATCCATGAGCAGCCATTCTGCACTTCTCTGCCACCCCAGGAACCTAAGATCAGAGGAGCCCAGGTGTGTAGCCCAATTCCCTGCACCATGGGACCGGCAGTCCATGCAGGAAACACCGCCAGCTGATTCAGAGCAACACAGGAAAATGTCAGGGCGAAGGAGCAGGGTGCAATCTCAGACCTCCAGCCCACCCAGAGTGAGTCCAGAGGGCACGAACACAAAAGAGATCAGAGGTCTCAGGCCTGAAATTTCTGAAATGATAGCAACTGAATGAACGGACAACTTAGTGCTTATAATGTTTGATTAATTTGGCATGCCTGAATCTTACCCAGAGCAAGTCCAGAGACACAGACATAGAGGAAATTAGAAGTCATGCACCTAAAGTTTCTGAGATGATGGTAACTGAAGAAACAATTTAGTGTTCATGCTATTTGATTGACTTTGCATACCTGTGTCTGGTGAGCTGAGCATCTATTTAGAGGATAACAATGTGCATTACAGTAACTATGGTTGATCTCCTTCTCCCTTATTTTTGAAATCCAATATTGTTCCCATTTTTGTTTATTTGGTTGGTTTTATTCTCTTCAAAATAAAAAAACCCAGGGTAAGCAGCCATGGCTCAAGAGAGCAGTGGGCAACCCAGGGAGAGAACCAGCATCTCCCGAGATCCTCTCCACGTTGGAACTTAGGGCACTGGGCAACAAAGCAACCCACTCACTTCCCTAGTAGGCAGCCATAAGCCTACCAGAGCACTGCTGAGAATCAAACATCCCATCCCCCACCCCCATTATGGGTTTTGCCTTTTCATCAAATTTGGAAATTTTTAAGATTCTATTTTTTATCGTTTTGTCCCTCCTTTCCTCACCTTTGGAGACCCCAATTACACATGTTCTTAGAGCTCTGAGGTTGTCTTACAGCTTGCTAATGCTCTGTTCATCTTCTTTTTATTCTCTTCTGTGTTTTGAATAGAATTTATTGCCATCTGTTCAAGTTTACCATGCTTTTCTTCTTCAGTGTTTAATCTATCATTATTCACATCCTATGTTTTTTATCTTGTACACTGTAGCTTTGATTTTTAGAGTTTATTATGGATCTCTTTCTTAAAAAAAAGATCTTCCATGTTTCTTTTTAACTTTATAAACATATGAAATGTAATTATGACAATTGTTCTTGCCTCCTAATTCTAACATCTGGGTTAGTTCTAAGTCAGTTTCAACTGGATGATTACTTTGCCAAATATGTTCTTTTGTTTTGTTTTCTTGCCTGACTTGCAAATTTTTACTGACTTCCAGTTATATATTCTTTAGCTTTTCTTTCTGAGATGCAGTTAAGTTATTTGGAGACAGGCCCCCCCCCTTTTTTTTTATAGTTCTTGTTAGACTAATCTAGAGCAATGCTTAGATTACAACTACTTACCAACCATCCACCAGATGAGACTCTTTTGTATGTGATACTCAGTGTCCTATGAATTATGACATTTTCCCATCCTGGTGGTGAAAGGCCTGTGTTAGGCTGAGTGCCTCAGACACACATTTCTTCCCCAGATTTAGTCAATTTCCTCCCAAACAAGTTTTCTCTGTAGTCCACTAACTACTTACCAGGAGCTCTTTGCAGATCTATGAAGTCATCTCTCTGCAGATTGCCACTCTTCTAGTAACCTGTTTTGTGACTGTTTTCCTGGACTCTCAGTTTTCCTGGACTCTCAGCCCTCTCATTCTTAAACTCACAGAGTCCTCTATCCTGCATGAATCTCCACTATGGGAAATTCCTAGTGAAACTCTCTCAAGATAGTAAGTCAGGGCATCAGGGATCATACTGTTTCCTGTCTTTGATGAATCGCTGTCCTTTGTAGCTAATGACTACTGTCTTGAAAATTATTGTTTTCTGTATCACGTTTTTTAAAAAACTTTTCCTTTGGGGTGGTATTACAGGTGGAAAAGAGTTACTTATGGTATCCTTATCAGTCGGGGAAGGCTAAGTTATCCTGTGGTAACAGACAACCGCAGTATAGTGCTGACTACTGGGTAGAGTTTTCTGCAGTTTCCATTACCTGCAGACAGTCATGGTCTTAATATATCAAATACAAAATTCTAAAACTAAATAATCCATAGCTTTTAAATAACTTTTACTACAGTATATTGTTACAATTTCTTTCTTTCATTATTAATTATTAATTTCTTACTTTGCCTGATTTATAAATTAAAGTTTATCACAGATGTATATGTAAAGGAAAAATAATACATTCAGTGTGTGGTACTCTCAAGTTTAGGCATCTACAGAACTTCTTGGAGCATGTTCCACTCAGGTAAAGAGGGCACTCTTTTTCAGCACCTTTCTATGGTGAAGGTGTGTTTTCCCCTCCTATGGACTCAATACAGACTGGTGAACATCAGCTCAGCACCGACACTCTGCACTCAAACCAGCTGAAATCCCATCTCAATGCATGACGGAGAAGCAAAGGGCCCCAGCTAGAGGTAAATATTCTGATCTGTCACACATGTCACTTTTGGCTGCAACCTATCATCTCAAACAAGCCACATCAAATATTAATGTCAAAATGGTGGAGGATAGTGTGAGCCTATCAGATGTCTGCGAAGGAAACAGGTGAAATATTCTCAGTAGTCTTATTATTTCCTTGTTTTATATCTCACATTAATGAGAATGCCTCTACATTTTAGAAATAGACATGATTTTTGTTTTGGTAATTACTGATTTTTGCAAAAGTCTTTTGACATGTTAAGCAAGCTATCTTTTATTTCCATGACTTTTTATTAGATGAAATGGTAAACTTCATCATTTTGTATCTATGGAAAAAATTTTTTACATTTTTCCCTTTTGACATATTAATATGTTTGTATTAATAGACCTCCTGCTTTAAATTATTCTTGAATCACAGAGAAAAAATGCCACAGAATCAGAGTATGTTATAATATTCTACTATTTTATTTACATGTTCTGTGCTTTTTATAGTTCAAACATTTTAAAATTTTATTTTATTTTTATTTTTTATTTTTATTTATTTTTTGGTACAAGGGATCAGACTCATGACCTTGTGCTTTCCAGAAAGGCACTTACACCAATGAGCTAAATCCCTGGCCCAACAATATTTTAACATACGATTAAACTGAGGGCTTTTGCCTTGAACTATATCCCCAACCCTTTTTGACTTTTTGAGACAGGGTCTCACTGAGTTGCTCTAGCCCAAGTTGGGCTCAGACTTATGACCTTCCTGCCTCAGCCTCCCAGAGTGCTATAATTGCAGATCTGTGCTGCCAACACACAAATTTTTCTGGCAACAGATTTTAAATTTTGTGTTGTTGTGGTTTCTTGCAGTGCTAGGGATTGAACCTGGGCCTTGTACATGCCAGCCAAGTGCTACCAGCGAATTACACCCCAGCCCATTTTAGCAATTTATTTCTGATATTTTTTAATTCTCCTATCTGAGATCAGGCTATACAGTTTGTTATTTTTATGCCATTTTTGTTGAGGAGCTATAGAATTTTCCAGAGAGACCTAATGGATCTGATATGTTTAGAGAAACTAATTTTTAAAGCTTTTATAGTTCTTCTATCATTGGTTAATTAAAATATTTTCTTTTTCTTAAATTGATTTTGATTAAACAACCAATTCTATTTTGGTTTTCTTGAAAAGCTGAGTTGTATGTAGTCATTTTACTTACATTTTTCTTTTCTTTCCTTTTTTTTTTTTTTTTTTTTATCTTTTTTGAGACAGGGTCTCTATGCAGGTCGAGCAGGCCTTAAGCTCACTTTGTAGCCCAGGCTGGTCTTCAAATCGCAACAATCATCCTTCCTCAGCCTCCCAAGTGCTGGCCCTTGCTTACACTTTTCATATTTATGATTGCACATTTTCTATCATTCAAAACATTTGCATTTCTGATCTTTATTTTCTGCTTAGATTTCACAAAGATTTATCTATTTTATTGGGCTTCTATAAGAACTGGTTCTTTATATCACTTACCAATTTTTGATCACTTTATTTATTTTTTATTCTTTAATTTTTAATATATGTCCTCCTTCTGCAATGTTTTCCATGCCTTGGATCTTTTCTAACATCTTGAGATAAATGCTTAACTTGCTTTATTTTATTTTTTAATTTTTATTTATTTATTTTTATTTTAAAGAGATTAAACAAAAGACATAAAAAAGCAGATCAGAACAATTTAAGCAACACAGTATTTGACCACAAGACAAACCGATATGATAGTAGCTACCATAATGTCTCTTTCTTTGAAATAGTTGAGCATACCTTCACATGTAATAGTATCAACATAACAACATAGTATAAAACCATTCAAGAGAATGAAAGCATTACAAGATATTCAGAACCAAATAACAGAAAATGAACAATGGCTACTATATTATCTCATTGTCCATAAAAAATGTGTTCATACTATCACACATAATAAAAATCCAATAAGATACAACATGATAAAATCAATGGAAACAGAAGAGCAAAAGCATGGTAGGACTTCAAAGCAAGATGATATTAAATCAGCACTGGCTTTTCTAATGAAGTTTGCTTAATTTTAATTACCGTCATTCTATGTTCTATTTGTATCTTATATCCAAAATCTAACAGTCTCTCTGAAGCATGTGTGTGTGGTGGTTAAACCCAAAAATCTAGCATAAGTTTACACAAAACAGATCAGCACAATCTCCACGTGGGCCAGACTGCTCATTTTACAAGGACAGTTTCTGTACTTTAATACATTTGGTGAAGAAATAAATATGCCTATTGCTGCCAGAGTTATCTTTCTAATTTTAGGCTTTATATCTAACATCTACTTTCCCATTTTTGCTAGGTGAATACATATTAATTCTTCAAAACCAGTTCTGGGCCAATTTACCAAAAATC